TTGCTTATCAAGCTAAAAATCTCAGACTTGATTGAGAATGTTTTTTGTTTTCAAAGTTAGAAAAAATGTATCTTTGAACAGATAAATCAGCACTTTTTCTGACTGTACCCTACAGTCACGCTTTTTATTTTACTAATCCACAACAGTTGAGAAAACCTGTAAAACATTTAAGACTTTGCCAGAAAATGGATGGTTTTGTGACCTTAGACTAAGCTTAGTCAACATGCCCAGTAAAGTAATGCACAATGTACTCTCTCCTATATACCACTTCATAAGACATGCTGGTTCCTGCGCAGCGTAGTGTTATTAGCCTATAATTTTATTTTTGCCCTAGTTAAAAGGCCGTGCCTCAAACTATTATCGTATAAGAAAACACCATGCTTCATGATCTGCGCAAGTGTCACGTGATTCTCACTTGACTCTGATTTACGGTACATCAGGATGTCATCTGGCCAAACTGAAAGTTCCCGTATCTTGGAAGCAGGCACTGCTGCTGGAAGATGAGGAGCGCGCGCGTCCGCGGGATGAAGGTTCCAACGAGGGACTCGAGCCCCCTCCCCACTGCTGATGGCTCCATGGGCTTGGTGCTGCTGCTGGGTTCTATTTCTCTCTCTCTCTCGTCTCTGGGTTCCTGATTGTTCATAGCTGCTTGCTTTACGCACTATCTCCAAATCAGGCACCCTCTCCACTTATTGAGTGCTGTCCCTCTCGATCCTTCATCCTCTCTGCTTTCTCTAGCTGCTGCTGGTACCCTTGTGTCCAACTTGGGGGCAGGCGCATGGAGGAGCAATCGCTTCATTTCAAATACTGTACTGCAAGTGCACTGCAATACAGCAGACTTCCCTCGTCCACAGCTTCCTCTTTCTTTCTCTTGTCTGTCTCACACTAGTTTCCTTCACCTGTGATTTTCTTCCTAGAGTTATACATTCTCCCCAACTCCACCGGCATGCAGACACAATCCCCACCCCAACCCTCTCTCTCTCACCATCCGGACCAAATGTATAAAATACTGAGCCCCAATCCACAAACTCCTGGCATCGCATGCTTGCTGGCAATTAGTTAGAATTGCGTCACATATTTGTCACCTCTAACACTTCTGCATGTTGTTGCAGGCTCATATGACATATATGGCTGCAATCAGGGGAATCATCATTGAGGATTGCTGCTGGTGGGTGCCTGATGGGTGATCATCACAGAAATGATGGGGGGGAAATTCAATAAAAAAATGATGCAGTCTCTAATGTAAACCGGTTGCAATTCAATGTGAACCCCCCCACCCAAAAAAAAAAGAGTTGGAATTCCTCTCTACAACAGTCTTGTTTATAAAAATTTTATTTGTAGAATGATTTTTTCCCTCAGGGTTCTCTTATGATGTTATTGGGTTCTCTACAACAAAGTTCTCCCCACAAAAATTATTTTCTGTATATGTAGAGAGTGCAGCTGCAGAATGTTCTGATGGTGATGCTATATAGAATTAATTGCAGTATTTCAACTTTGAAATCATTAGTCCTTTATTATGCAATTTTCAAGTCCCTGGAGTGGAAACTGACATTCTGCAAGTGACTCAAATGTTCTGCTCTCCTGCCTGTTTTTCAAGTTTTTACCCTCTTATGAAATGAAGACAAATGGAATGAAGTTGGCGTTCTAATTCAGGTGAATTTTCTACAATACAGGAAGGAAGGCATGTCCAATGGGTCATGTTGCACTATGAACATATTTCTGGCCCAGATAAACTGTGCAGAATTGACTTTCCTGCCAGTGTCATCAAACTCTTTCATTGTACCAAGGCATGCTTACAAACCTACAAACACATCTTGGTTTTATATTTTCATGATTGCGTCTACTTGGCATTACTGTACAGTGAATCACACTTCCTGTGGGAATGCACCAGCAATCATTCACTGGCCAACTAACTTTTATAGCAATTTGGTCAACTTCCATGTCAGCACATGTACTGTCTGTGTGCATCCAAATACTGTAGTTTCTTGTGCTCATTGTAGGAGTTGCCATAGCAGGATTTCATTATTGTAAGTATTGTACTGTAAGTACAATACTGTATGCACATACAGTACTTGACTGGGGTTGACTCTTGAAAGAGGATACATTTTTTTTCACCTTGGCTATAAAGATGGAGAAATTGCCATTGAAATGTATTGTTCATTTTCTTGTTGACTCAAGACTCAAGGCAAATCTTTAATAGGAAGAAGACATTATCCTTGTTAGAAAGAGTTTATTTCCTCTAAATTTCTTTTGTAGCTGACTTGAAGGATAACTACAACTTTGGTTGAATTTTCAACAGCAGCATCATCTGTTTTGAGGCAACTGAAAATTTCATTCACCAATGAATATACTGCACTGGATTAAACAAAAAGATCTATTCTCATTGATATTTCTTCAATACACAGCTACTTTTTCTTCGAATTGGGTGGCATTGCATATTGATGTCACCCAGCAAAAATTGCTTCTGGTTTACGCTCCAAATACTGTAACTCTTTGCTTCCTATAAAATCCCATCAATCTTTAATTACATGTATACTAAAATATGTATGTATTTTTCATGATTAACAATGAATTGGCAATCAGCATTTGGATCACTTACCAGCAGCGCAGGGAAAAACAATTTCTATCAGAGTTCTAGTAATCTAGTTCACCAAGACATTAATTGCCAGCAATGAAGATTACGACCTGAATTCTGTGCATTACCTGGCTGGCTTCTCCAGCAGTACAGCAGCATAATTATATTACCCTATATACTGACACTTCTTCTAAAAACGCCTCTTTTTTATTTTGAGTAAATGAAAAAAGAAAGAAAATCATCTGTGCGGGTCGTCTTCACTGCATTTAAAGATGAAATCATAGGTTTCATGCTTCACCAGAGAATACAGTACTATATATACACAAAAGCCAAGTACAGTATATAGGATCCCGATTCAGAAGCAAAGGGTATATATATATAAGATTAAATAATAAGCCAAGAGAATAATAGACCGACGACCTCGGAAATTTTGGTGTTGGTTTTAGCCTTTTTCGAAGATAGTTGTAACTGTACCTCCCCTATTGAAGCTGGGATTCATTTAATCAGAATTTATGGACTGATTTTCCTGAACAGCGGAAAGCAAATGCCATACCCACAATCAAGTCCTCAATTTATACGCAGCACAATAAGTGGGCATCAGGCACCGCGTGGATGAGGCTAAAGAATAGAATAAAATGATAAGGATATGGTAAAAAGAAAAGAGAGAGAGAGAGAAAAAACATCCAAATAAAAAGAGAGAGAGAGAGAGAATAAGAGTCGGACGGACGGTGGACGCCAAGGGGGCGGCTGAGCGGGAGATTGTAGTAATTCCTGGGCCGGGAGCCGTAATGAAGGCGGACGCAGGGCGTCGGTCGACCGCCGCCTCGGGGCTGAGCCCGGATTCGGATTCCACAGCAACAGCAGCAGCAGCAGCAAGCAAGCAGTAGTATAGTACTGTACAGCATAGTAGAGTGCAGTGCAGGGCAGTACAATAGCAGATAGCTGATGATGATGCAAGCGCAACAAGAGGCCTCCTGCTGCTGCTGCTGCTGCTGCACGCGCAATCGTGCACCAACCCATGAGACCATCCAAGGATCACCATCAGACAGACTGAATGCAACTCACTGCTTCCAATCATCATGCACCAGAGCTCAAATGCAAAATGTCCCCTTTCCTTTACTTTAGCATTGTACCGAGCACATGTATATATGTACAGTTAAACCTCTCTAAGCTGAACTCCAAGGGACCAGCAAAAAAATTGACTTAGGGATAGGTTTCAACTTGGTGAGGTTTTGAATTTATCTACAAGAAAAAGTCTTTTTGTGCTGGGAAACATAAAAATTGCTCAAAATTGTAAATTGTAATCTTCTAAGGCTGAAATTACTTCTTAAATGAGTTGAAAGCATCCCTGGAGGCAGGGTTCATTTGCGCAATTGAATCTCTCACCTCATTTTAAAGCAAATCAATTTATGTTTTATTGCATTTTTTCTTTCCTGCATCAAGAAAATAAAAGCCAACAGACCACAGGTAATTTGACTTATGGAGGTTTGAGGGAAAAATCCTTTGACTTGATGAGGTTTTAAAAGCATTCCTGTCTAAATCCCCTTAGATCTAAGGGGAATTCAGACAGAACCTAAAAACAATTGGACTTAGGGGGGTTTTGACTTGGGGAGGTTTGAGTTATTGAGGTTCACCTGTATATACAGTACAGATGATGGTTTATCAATCCATTCCACACTGTGGAAAATGTCACACAAAATTCAATGTGGTATAAGTTCTGAGCTTTATAAATCTCTTGTGTACATGTGCGCATAGACATAATCTCATCCCATTATAGACTGAATAGAAACATAGACTCTCTCTCATATATAGAGACGGAGCAGATGCAAGGAAACATTTTTAGCATAATTAACAAATAAAGTGTTGTGGTCATTCATTCATAATTAACGATTGAGCGAGTTTATAGGGTAGACTAATAGGTCAGATAGATGATCCCCATGTGTTGAGGCATGTTCTCCAATAAGCCAGGAAGAAAAGTTATGCTTATTTCCGGGATCATACACTGTGCTGTACTGTACTGTAGTTTGTTCAATGCTTCCGCAGGATCTCCTGAATAAATGTTGCCAGCTATAGCAGGTGCTATTGCAAAAGTATATATAGACAAATCAAGACAGATTATTTGAGACAGTGCAAATGGAGACATACAATTTGAAAAGGGTCAAATTTGAGGCAGGGTCAATTCAACACAGGGTTGAATTGAGACAGCCAAAAAGCAACTGCAGATTCCCATTGAATAGCTATTGATGCAACTAACTCCAAGTGCAGAAAGAAACATTGGTCAGGCAATAGAAGCAGTGTTCAAGATGACACATCCAGAAGAGATGGAAAACCATTAAGAAGAATCCTAGTTGCTATATTTATTGTCCCAATTAAATCCATTCATTGTCCTAATTATTTGTCTTATGTGAAAAAAACATAGCAGAACTTCTCACCAAACAGTGCAACTTTTTTTCCTTTTCACACCTTCAACAAAACAGAATAAGGAGAAACACAGTCAAGCCATTTTGTCTCAAACAGTCTTTGTCTCAAATTATCCCTGTCTCCCTGTCACAATTTGGTCCTGTCTCCAATTTGCCTTCATTGCCTTAAACTAGCCCTGTAAAAATTGTCTGTCTCAAATTTTCCCATATCCTACTGCCACATACTGGCATACAGCATATGCACGCAGGGATTTCAAGAGGAACATTC